CCCCGGGGGGGGGGCCAAGAAGCCTTGGCCGGGGATCCGCGGGGGGGGGCCGGGATAAAGGGTTTCCCCGGGCCCCCCCCATTTTCGGGGGGGAAACCAAAATTTTCCGGGGGGGGCTTTTAAAAAGGGGGACCCCCTGGGGAAAGGTGGGGGGGGGGGGGGGGGGGGTGAAGTTCTTGTTGATGTCTTGATACTTTTCTGCTGCTGGAGAAGCGGGAAAGGGGGGCGGCGAGGGGAGCAAAGAAGTATGTGCTTAGTGCAGGTTTTTATGCCGCCGTGATCCCCTGGTTCTACAGCACCAGCTGCTGCGCTCGTTTGGCCGTGCTGGTGTGTGAAAGAAAAGTTTGCCGCGGGATGATGGTCGCAGGGGATACATTCGACGGAAGTTATCAGACGAATCGGGATTATTCTACACAGATTTGCCCCAAACGGTCGAATTCTTCCGGCGAGCATGCGTACGCTCCACATCAAGAAAAGGGCAACCCCGTCGTTGATAATGATCGGCGTATCGGTCGGCCATCTGTCCGCGGGCAGAAATGCTGCAACGTGGGTTCTATCTGCCCCGGCGGCGTGCTTGCTTCCCCCCGACCCCCGCAAAGGTGCAGGTCGGCCTGCTACAGCTGTAGATTGCCGGGAATCGACCCTTACGTGTGCATCGGTCAAAGTTAAAGTTTTCGTGAGGGGCGATTCCATTTCTCCCTTTCTTCCGCACATCTACTGTAGCCGTTTTGCACCATTTTTTTTTTTTTTTCATTTTCACTTCATCCATCGCACAAAGTTTGGGTCGGCACTCCAGCCCCACCACACACCGGGGCGGACACAGCGGCAGCAGCAGCAGCAGTAGCCGCACGCACACAAACGCACTCAACATTCTAGCTTGTACTGTAGTATTTGTCGGGTGAGCCCCAGTGCCATACAAATATGGTGCTTCGACACAGCCCCGAGTCTTGCGACGCATGGGCCTAGGCTCTGCCTACGATCCCCCCTGTCGGCAAACGTTGCTCCCTTGTACAACATGCATCCCGCACACGGAAGACCATGCAGTTTTTTTTTTGTACTGTTCATGGTGTCGGTGGCGAGCACGATGCATGACGATACACACGCTTTCGACCCTGCTGCACACTGGTGTCTAGTGCAAGCGCCGCGGTAGAGTTCTCTCCTCGAAAAATGACGAGGTCATAATTTTCGGCATCTTTTGACACACGAAGCAGGGATACAGACTACCAGCGGACTGCATGACCTAATGTATTGCGTACGAGCATGTAACAACCAGAGTCAAGGGTCGGTTACTCTACATGCATCAACCCTCCTTACCTCCAGCATTGCCAGTACGTAAAGTTAAACGAGAGGGGAAGCACAGGATGCAGTGTTCCCTCATTAATTCATAAATACTTCTACTTCTTTTTTAGAAAGTACGTAAACACAACCTCACAGAAAGACTACCCGTTCGAGATATAACCTCAGTCGAAGTTCTACTTCTGTGTGCATGCACATGTGCATAGCACGTGATGCTGGATCGCGTTATCGCGTTGGTTGACCTGCCTGCCTACCGCATGATCGCGGTTGAGCCGCTTTGTACCATACCATTATTGTACATAGATGGCGCCTTCCTGTGTGGCACCAGGGACCTAGTTGGATGATATCCCCGCCCCCTCCCAAGATGTCCTCGAGATCGTAATTTTTTTTGTCTCTTGCTTGCAACACAACAAATTAATCCTGTCCACATATCAAAAGAGCGTCTGAGATAGATTGGCAATGAATCTGTAGCGTCAGCCGAATACTACCGTATCCGTTAGTACCTGTTTTTCTCACGATCTTTCTTCCCTCTTTCTACCCCTGTGTGGTTCCTTCCAGAGTTGGCTACGTGTGTTCCTCACGATCGTTTTTTCCCTCTTCGTCTCTCTCTCTCTCTCTCTCTCTCTCTCTCTCTCTCTCTCTATCTCTGTCTGTCTCTCTTCGTCTCTCTCTCTCTCTTTCTCTGTCTCTCTCTCTCTTTCTCTGTCTCTCTCTCTTGCTGAATCGTTGTTATATTCTTGGTATATTTTATAGCTGGTTCTGGGGGGACGCACACGTCAAGGGCGGTGTGGAACACGCCGTCTTCCAGGGAGCGAAGAGTGCAGTCGTGCTCTTCGACGGGGAGTGCAACTTCTGCAACTCGGGCGTGTGGATGATGATCTCCAACTCGGAGGCGAGGAATCTCCGCTTCTGCGCACAAAATGTGAGAGGTTTCTTCACCATTAGACTATTTGCTCCTGTACGTCTCTGCTGCTGGTAGGTGCATGCCGCATGCGTACGGGATCGCCAAGGACTGGATAGCCGGAGGGGGGGAGGGAGGGGGGGTGAATGCGCAATCGTGGTCTCGCCGCTTGTCTCTAAATGGGTACAGCAGTACCAGCAAAATCCCGACTCAGTTGCGCACGGGCGAGCAGCCTTTGTTCACGGGGATAAATAAGCCCATGTTCTTGACCCAGCGGAAGCTCAAGTGCTATTTTCTATTTTTCTATGCCCATCATCAAGGTAGTCCCATGTAGATTTGGAGGTGTGAGCTTTGGAATCGTGTGCATGTCTTCCGCATCCTGCAGCCGCGCGTCGTGTCGTGTCTTGTCCTAGAGATGTACTGGTACCATGCAACGGCAGGCCTGCCTCTTCGTCGGCGGAACGATGCTAACTTTAACTTTTCGTTTGGGGTACTATCGCTCAACCAACAGCCGCCCGCTCGTCTCTGCAGCAAATCGCACCACTTCATCAGGCTAAAACATGCTACAATAGCAACGACCGCCAATTTCCTCACGCCCCCCCTCCCCCGCCCCCTCCCGGCGACGTCCAACCTGAAAAAAACAAAAAAAAACAGAGCGAGATGGGCGTCTCCCTGCTGCACTCGTTCGGGCAAGACCAGGAGCGCTTGAGCAGCATCGCCATCCTTGACAAGGACGGCCACCTCTACACGCGCTCCTGCGCCCTGGTCCACATCATGGCCCGGATGGACTTCCCCTTTCCGGTGGGGGCCGCGCTCCTCAAAGCCGTCCCGGAACCGGTGCGGGACGCCGTCTACGGCTTCGTGAGCCGGAGAAGGCACGTCTTCGGGACGGAGAGCCTGTCCTGCCGCATCCCGGAGGAGAGCGAGGTGGAACGGTTCGTGCTGTGATACGGAGCGGTTCGTGCTGCGATCTGGAACGCTGATCGTGCCGTGATGTGGAACGGTTCGTCCCGTGATCTGGGTCGTCGAAGTCTTCTTTGCCGTTGGATTTTCCCGAGAGACCAGTCGACGCAAACGCGCACGAATGGGCTTTGTGGGTGGGAGTGTGGCGATGGTTCTCGAGGATGGGGGGAGGGATTTTTGGAGCGGTCTTACGCGTTGGTTGGGATGCAGGAAGTGGTACTAACGTGACGAGACAGGAAGTGGTGGAGGGCATGTTTGAGTGTTTGAGTGTTTGAGTGGAGAGGGTGGTGAGTTGTGGATTGTGACGTTCAGCATGGGAAGGATAAAAGAGAGCCCCGCTCTCTTCATTCGCTGCTTAGATTGTCAAGAGAGGTTGTACGGCGGTCGCTGTTCGTGGGTGGCTTCGTGGTGGAAAAAAAGCTGTGTGGTCGGGTCGTCGGGCGTGTGGGGGGTGCGTGGCGTGGCGAGGTGGAGGAAATGGCCGACTCGGTGGTGAATTTCACTCAAAATGCAGTTTTGATCACACAAGGCTTGGCCCAATGCTTGCGACTCGGAGGTCGAGTACGCAGGTCGTGGTCGGGTCACGAAACCCGAGGGTAGCATCTAGTGTGTGACGAGTTGGGTACGTCGGGGGAGGGGGGCGTCGAGAAACACAGAGGCCTTTCCGGGTCGAAGCATAGACAGGTTGGCGTGGGTTGTGTGGACGAGAGGATGTCCAAGGGGTATCTTGGGCCGTAGCGAGCCATTGTATAAAATAATGGAACAGGCTTTGGTATGTATCACGACGAGGAGGAGATGGGGCGGGGGGAGGGGGTGAGGAGCGAAGGCGCCTACTTCTAGACCCGTGGATGTGGTGTTTCAACTTCAAGTGTGAGATAACGGAGTCCCGGAGTTGGACGTTTTTGCCATTTTGTTCATGTTTGGGCTCAGGCTTCATCGCTGCCAGCCGCTTGTGTATCATACGCGTACGCCGCCGTCGTAGCGTGCTGGCGAGCTTTCGCAGTATCTTTGTGCGGCGGATTCTCCACGCCACCGTCGCTTCTGTCTTGCAGTAATTTTGTTGGGGTTTGGGACGTGGCATATCTATTTTCTATTTTTGACTGTCACCGTCAGCGGACCTCTAATGGTAGCGACCACGCTGTTATGTACAAGTAGGAGTCAGGGTTGGGCCGGGAATGTGTCGATTTATGGTTTGGTTGTGCTTTTTTTTTGTGTCGGTGGGTACTGCCAATGTGTGCCTATTGACTGGAGGTTGGTGTTGCTCGCGGCCCCAGGTATTTATACTACATTCACCCGAGTCATGTGTACGTGATAATTTAGTCGGGACTCGATTTGAGAGGTGGGGGTGGGTGGGGGGGGCAGGTGCGTGACCGAGCGGGTCTGTAGGTGGACTGCTGTTGGTTTCCGAGTTTATAACAGTTGGAAGAGCGTGGATTTGTGCTTCATAGAGCCTAGAGAATTTGAAGCAAACGCAGCAAACAAAGCTGGCTTGAGTTTGTGGGTGTCCTAAGCAAGGTTTGTAACGACGTACATTCGGCCGCACCCTTTCGTCATTGTTGCTCATGTTGAGGGCACATTGCTCACACCAAGGGTAGGGCGTTCGTAGCTCTCTGTTGCCTTTCGCGCTTCAGCCCCAAAGCCACGTTGGCGTCAGCACCAGCGGCAAACAGTGCCTCTTACGGAGCGCCCATCGCCTAGCCTGATCGAAGGACACATAAATGTCGATCAAACTCGCCGTCGACGGGAAAATAACTAAGTACTGCCTGCTCCAGAACTTGCGAGCACTGAAGAGACTCTTCCGCATGTTTCGCGCTACTTTTCGTCACTGGGGAAGCCAACAGGGAACGAACGCGTTCTTTCATTTGCAGCTAGTGCTGTTGGTTCACGAACATCGAAAACCCGTATGATGTCGTGGCGCCTTCTCATTGGTCTAGGCTTGATCCCAGGAACGGAGCCTCTAAATGGCTGCGACTCTCGCCACCTTTTTTGCCGTTCACAAGATCGTATGCATACATACAAGGATTCTTTCCTCCCAAGGAGGAAGCGGTTTCCAAAACGTTTCAACGTACCTAACCAACCTGTTCCAATCCGTTTAGGATTGGTTTCAGCTGCGGAAAAAAAAAAACACAAAAAGGAAATTTGACCGGAGAAAATTGAACGCGGCCTATTTCTCTCGGCTCGCGAAAGCTACGAGCATGAGATCGCGGCGGCGCCTTCGCGAGACCTACCCCTCGAGGGACCTGTCGAAGGAATTTCAATCGA